TTTGTCAAAATAATTGTATTCTCATTAATGCCATTTATATCACTGCAACCTTTAATCACACACATAAAGGTTCTTTCTTGTTCTTTAAAATAAACCCCAAAACATACATACATATGTTATACCTTAATTCAATTTTAAGATCCTACGACATCGGGGTGATCAATAAAATTGTCCTGCGGTGAATGCAAACATTACTGGAAACTGTGTACAATTAGCTTGGCACAATAGAAAGACCAAATATTTTAGAGTCTGACCTAGATTCAAATCCCAAACTGTCCATTGACTAGTGGTGGAATCTTAGAAAGGTTATCCAAAAATCTCTGTATTTCTTCATTTCTAAAATACATGTTTCACAAGGCCAGTGTGAAGGTTAAATTAAATACTATCTGTGGAACTCACAGCAGGATTAAGTACTCAGTAAAGGTTTGTTCCCATTTCCAATTGCAGGTTTGAGTCTTAAGATAAGAAAGACCACTTCTTCCTTCTTAGTCTGCTAACTCTAACTCATCTTCCAAGACTTTGAACATGGGATACATTCTCCGGGCAGCTCCTGATCACTACCAACAAACCCGCTGATTCCCCGGTGACTGGGCATCTCTTCTTGTCCTCCCCTGACACTCTGTGTTTCCCTATCTCAAATCAGCAGCCATCCAAATTAGTTGCTGTGTTTTACCTGTTTGCCTCGGACGCTAGACTAGAAGAGCTTGGAAACGTCCAGGAACTGACTCTCATCCTTGTACTCTAGTTCCTCCTATGTCGTAGGTGTTAAACATATACTGATACCTGAAAGTCAAATGAAATAAAGACACACACATGGGCCAGGCCCGTGGCTTAGCGGTTAAGTGCGCGTGCTCCACTGCTGGCGGCCCGGGCCGGATCCCGGGCACGCACCGCTTCTCCAGCCATGCTGAGGCCACGTCCCACATACAGCAACTAGAAGGATGTGCAGCTATGACATACAACTACTGGGGCTTTGGGGGGAAAAAATAAATAAATAAAATCTTTAAAAAAAAAAAAAAAGACACACACAAAGTTCTATAAAATCATGGCCCGCAAAGTGTTAAAACACTTTTCCTTCCCCATCTTCTTACCAGCCCTGAGAGCTGCAATCTTATCACTGAAGCACAGAACTTTGAAGTCGTTTGATAATGGCGTTAGTGGTGTCAAAAAGCAAATCAAAAGAATCTCTAAGGGATTGTTTTTCTCTTGAATTTGAAAGCCAGTGTCCAAACTCTGAGATCTTATGTCGAGAAATGATAGTCCCTTTAGGACAAGCAAGAGAAAAATTCCAGTTGCTTCCTCCTTTCTATAGCAGTCTATGAGGCCATTCCTTCCCCAAAATGAATATAAGAGATAAAAGCAATGGAATGGTTTATCTAAATCATTAGTCATTTAAGATCCTCATGGAAGTGGCATGAGATATACATAATTCTGCCTAAACCTGTCATCCTATTGGCTACTTATCTCTCTATCTATAGCCCCTGCTTGGTTTTGTCTCTGCTCAGGGCAGCCGGATAGGCATCTGAGGACAAGAGTCTGTTATGTTCACGGAATAGACAATGAGGGAAAAGGGAAGAGAAGGTATCTATTACTAACTTATTCTACCAGTCTTCATGTATTTTGCATACATTATTTCTTTTAATCCTCTCAAAAGTCTTGTGAGGTAGTTAAGCAGTTCGTTATCTTAGTCTTACAGATGTTAAGCCCAAAGACTCAGAGATATTTGGTAACTTGCCCAGGGTCACACAGACGGTAAGAAACTCTCAGTGCCATACGGACCTCCCACACAAGGAAATTTCTCTTCAAGGGAAGTCAAGTTGTACGCAGCACACGGACTGGTCCTTTTACTCATCCACACGTTTGGGGGTCACACAAAGGAACTGAGTCCCAGACACGGAACACACTGAGTGAATATACGATCCATGTGCAAGTCCGTTACTTAATCTTTCTAAGGCTCGATTTTCTTATCTGAAAATGGAGATTATAAAAACGCCTGCCTCACAGAATTGTTTGGAAGATAAAATGAGATAATATATGTGCTCAGCACAGTGCAACTATGCCAGTATATCATGTTTAAATATGTTTCTACCAACAAAGCAGTCTCAATCCAGTGGGAAAGACGGTGTCATATCAACCCTCTAAGAAACAGTGAGCACTGCTTTAATAATGATATAAACTAAGTTCTTTAGGAATACTAATAAGGAAGTGATGGATTCTGCCCGAGGGAGTAGAGAAGGCTCTCTAGAAGTGGTGACGTTTGAACTGAGCCTCACAGGATCTGTCATATTTCCCTGGTTTGGGAAAGAGGAAGTGGAAGGGTGTATGGCAGGCATGGGGAACTCTGTAAACAAGACTTGGGATGTGACAATATGTAGCCGGATGGAGATCAACTGTGAGGTGCATGGAGGCAGATGGCAGGAGATCCAGCTAGAACTGTAGGTTGAAGTCAGAGTGTGAATAGCCTGGCATGCCAGGCTCCAGTGTTTGGCCTCATTCTGTAGGCAGTGTGGAGAGCCATGAGAACGTCCTAAGCAGGAGAGCCACATGTTTTCATTTGCATGTTAGAAAGAGCATTGGGGAGGCCATCTGGACTGTGGATTAGAAGGCAGAGAGCTGGAGGCAGGAAGACCACAGTGACTCTCCAGAACATAAGGGATGAACAAGAGCGTGGGAAGGGAGTGGAGAGCAGGGCTTCCGTCTGACAGGATGGATTGCAAGTGTCAATGACGCAGGCCTGTTACTCATTTCTCTAGGGCAATGCTGTTTAGTGTTCTATCCTCTTTCTCAGAATCAAAAGTCTTATATGTTTAAGGCAGTAAAAACTTCGAGAACTGGGGGAACTCTAAATATAAAAAATAAACAAAAAATAAGGGAAGTTTGTGGAGTTTGCAGGAAGGGAATGTTACTTGACCTGGATGGTCTTCTGGTTTACTCTAAAAATACCTCCATAAGACTTTGAAATGTAAACAGTTACTGGAGTTGCCGTTTTGCAAATGGACTGTGAATATTATAGTCCCATTTTCCCATGGCTCTGCATTCTAACATTCTTCCGGAGAAAGCATATTGGTCAACATCAAGTCATTAGGAAAGAGAATACTGACTGAGAGGAGAGTTCTTCGGGAGTTATTGTACCAACTTTGTCCCAGAAACCAAATGGCAAGATTAGCGTGAATGTCCCAGCACCGGGTACAACCAAACTCTCCAAGATGCTTAATGTTCAAGGATACATCTGGACTTCAAGAGTAGAAGAAATTTTTTTTCAGATTTTTATTATAAACCAAAAGACAGAAGGCTAAGAGCACAGAAACTTTAAAAAGGCTGTGAACTGAAAATTTTAGTCCCAGACTTGGTTAGGTGCTGAGATGGAAAGATGTGAATACACAATATACAAACATTTGAAGGGCAAGTTAGGATATTTCAAAACATAGGAAAATGATGGACTCTTTGATGAACGGTGTTGAAACATTAAGCTGGCCATGTAGAAAAACAAAATTCCAGATTCCTTCCTACTCATTAATCCAAAATAGGCTCCAGATGGAAAGTAAGAATACCAAAACAAAACATTTAAAAATGTTTTTAGGGGCCGGCCCGGTGGCGCAAGCGGTTAAGTGCGTGCGCTCCGCTGCGGCGGCCCGGAGTTCGCGTGTTTGGATCCCGGGCGCGCACCGACGCATTGCTTGGCAAGCCCTGCTGTGGCGGCGTCCCATATAGAGTGGAGGAAGATGGGCACAGATGTTAGCCCAGGGCCGTCTTCCTCAGCAAAGAAAGAAGGAGGATTGGAGGATGTTAGCACAGGGCTGATCTCCTCACAAAAAAAAAAAAAAATGTTTTTATTAAAAAAAGTTATGATTTTGGAATAGGGAAGACATTCCTTGGCATAAAATATACCTAAAGGTCATAAAGGAAAAATTAATAAATTTGATAATATGAAAAGTAAAAACTTCTGTAAACATATATTAATGTAGGTATTAATAAAGTCAAAAACAAACAACAATCTGAGAAAAAACGTATTTGCAATACATATGACCGCCCTCACCTGGCCTGCTCACCTTTATCCCTAAAACTCTACGTGCTCAGGGCAAAGCTCATTCTTCTCCCACCTTCAGTCCCTCAGGCCCTCTTGCCCCCACCCACATAGCCTCACCTCCATTAACCCCTTCGAGAGCATCAGCACTAATCTACATCATGACCTTCATCCCTGTTTATATCAATCACCTCAAGAAGCCCAGATTTCCCTCGGTGTCTGGACCCTTACTCCTATTTGGCCCAAGTATCCCATTTCTGGCCCCACACCTCACCCATCCCTAATTCCTAACAGCGTTCCACTGCCCTATCAGTCAAAAGCAGATCTCCTATATGCTTAACTTCTTCTCTGAACAGTTCCATCAATTTCTTACTCTAACTACAACCTGGCTGTTCCTGAGCACAGTGCTTCCTCACAGCCCCGTCCAGGGGCATCTGTTTTCTCTCCCCTTACCTCCCCCCAGCTTAATCTCTAGACCTGGGAATTAGGTAGGTGTCCTTCTGCTTCTCATGGCCATGACCAAGCCATCTGCTCTCCCTCTCCCCAACTCCAGATGTCATGTCATAACACTGGCACTCTTTGTTACAGTCATCGACTTGCTCAGGCCACTTTCCTCCATTTCTTGAAGTTTTTTTAGGTCTCAGTTCACTTCCATTCTCTTCAACACTACTCCTATCAATTCTTTGAGGTTTAAAGATACTCAGAGGTGATTCTTGTAACACTCTGACATCTGGATTCTCTGAGCTCTTTTCCTCCAGTGATCTCGTCCCTTACCTCATCTCAGCCACCGACTCTCCCCCAGTCAAACATTTCCTTACCAAGAACTGGAACCCCTCCACAATTCAACATCAGGCATTCTGCCCTCTGGCCACCCACTCCTATATTTCCAGCTGGCTCTCTCTAGTGTCCCATCTCTAACAGTTCTTTGACTCTTACCACAGAGATAAGGAGAAACATTAAGCCTACTGTCTCTCACTCACCTTGAGTTTTTTTTCCAGCTTTATTGAGATATAATTGATATATAATGTGGTGTAAGTTTAAGCTATACAATGTGTTGATCTGATAGACTTATATACTGCAAAATGATTACCACCATAGCGTTAGCTAACACCAGCATCATGTAACATAATTACCAATTTTTTATGTGTGGTGAGAACATTCAAGATCTACTCCCTTAGTAACTTTCAAGCATATAATATGGTATGATTAACTATAATCACCGTGCTATACATTAGATCCCCAGAACTTATTTGTCTTAGAATTGGAAGTTTGTGCTCTTTGACCAACATCTCCTCATTTCTCCCAATCCCCAGCCCCTGGTAACCACCATTCTAGTCTCCATTTCTGTGAGTTTGACTTTTCAGAGTCCACATATAAGTGATATCCTACAGTATTTATCTTTCTTTGTCTGACATTTTACTTAGCATGATGCCCTCAATGTCCATCCACGTTGTTGCAAGTAGTAGGATATCCTTCTTTCTCATGGCTAAATAATACTCCATTGTGTATATACACCACATTTTCTTTATCCATTCATTCATTGATGGATATTTAGGCTGTTGATGGATATCTTGGCTATTGTGAAAAACACTGCAATAAACCTATGAGTGCAGCTATCTCTTTGAGATTCTGTTTTCATTTCCTTTGGAATATGTACCCACAAGTGGGATTGTTAGATCATATAGTAGTTCTATTTTTAATTTTTTGAGGAATCTCCATATTGTTTTCCATAGTGGCTACACCAATTTACATTCCCACCAACAGTGCCCAAGTGTTCCCTTTTCTCCGCATCTTGCCAACACTTGTTATGTCTTGTCTTTTTGATGATAGCCATTCTAACAGATGTGAGATGATATCTCATTGTGGTTTTGATTTGCATTTCTTTGGTGATTAGTTCACCTTGAGTTTTTAGTTCCCTTCTTACTTACCTTTAATTCCATGTTCCAACATTATAACCACTCCCTTTCATCTATCTTCAACTCATCTGTCCCCTCTTGTTTCTTCAAACTCATCTGGTGTTATGGACTAAATTCTGTCCTCCAAAATTTGTACGTTGAAGGCCTAACCCCCAATGTGACTATTTTTGGAGACAGAGCTGTTAAGGAGGTGATTAAGGTTAAATGACATCAGAAGGGTGGGGCCTTAATCTAACAAGACTGGTGTCTTTATAAAGAAGAGGAAGAGACACCCGGGATGCACATGCACAGAGGAAAGGCCATGTGGGGACACAGTGAGAAGGTGACTGTCTGCAAGAAAAGAGGTCTCAGGAGAAATTAACCCTGCTGGCACCTTGATCTTGGACTTCCAGCCTCCAGAACTATGATAAGGTAAATTTCTGTTGTTTAAGCCACCCAGTCTGTGGTATTTTGTTATAAGCAGCCCTAGAAAACTAATACATCTGACCAAATCCCAACCTTAGTTAAATCCCTCTTTCTGCTGACTCCCCAGGTGTAGCTGTGGAGTTGAGTTTGGTTGCAACAATAGCAATAACAAGAACAAAACACTCAAACATGGTGACTGGTGTCACATTAAACTCAAGACTAATAATGTGAAGTGGGCCGTTGGTGTTTCAGGGCAATCATTCTGCATACCCCTAGTCCATTCACCCTCCCACTCTCACACGCAACTATTTCATACCTTCGCCTCTCTTCCCAAACTCCAACATCTTCTCCCTGACTCTCACCTTCAGTGAATGATGCTGCTTCCTATCTTGCTGAGAGAACAGAAGCAATCAGAATAGATGTTTCTCAAGCTCTCACCACATCTCCCTACTTAGCCTACACACTATCTAGTTTGCTTCTTTATCTTATTTATTTTTTCTCTCTTCCCAATAAATGTAAGTTGCATGAGAGCAAGGATTTTAACTATTTTGTTCATTGCTCCATCTCCCATGCCTGCAACATAATAGCCACTCAATACATATTTTTTGGATAATGAATAAATGAATATGACATTGAACCAATTTCCTTATTATACACAAAAAAACTCTTACAAATCAATAAAGGAAAGAACAACTCAATTAAAATGGACAAAAAGTATGAACAGAAAGCTCATAGACCAAAGAAATATACATGGCGAATATATGTACAAAATGTGTTCAATATTGTTCATAATTAGAGAAAGACGAAAACATCAAAATAATAAAGAGACATCAAATTTCATTCATCAGACTGGCTAAAATTTACAATCTTGATAAATCTCAGTCTTGGTGAGGATGCAAGGTAACAGTTACTTTCACAAACTATTCGTGGAAGTGTAAGTTGGCATTCTCTTTTGACAGAATCTACCAAAATTTAAAACAAATTTTACACCTGGGGAGTCAGCAGAAAGAGGGATTTAACTAAGGTTGGGATTTGGCCAGATGTATTAGTTTTCTAGGGCTGCTTAAAACAAAATACCACAAGTATGGCAAGGTGTTTGTATATATAACAGGATGTTCATTCACAATTTCATTTATAGTAGCAAATATTAGATTTAAATTAAAATGAGACTGTTCTAGTTTAGTGGTTACCAGAGTGGAAGGGGGTTGGGGGCTGGACATAAGGGGTAAAGGGGCACATTTATAAGGTGACTGACAAACAATAATGTACAACTGAAATGTCTCAATGTTATAAACTATTATGACCTCAATAAAATTTAAAAGAAATGAGACTGTTCAAAAAAATTGGTACATTTATGAAAGGGAATACTTTGCAGCCATTAAAATGAAAAAGAGAGAATTACATATTCTGCTATGAAAAGATGTTTATTATAGCCAACATTCAAGCAATGAACAAAACACTCTATAGAGTGTGTGTGTGTGTGTGTGTGTGTGTCCATTAAACATCTCTGGAAGGATATAAGAAGCAGTTAACAATTACTGTTTCTGGAGAGTAGTTCCAGGAGATTGAGAAAAGGGAGATTTTTTTTTTTTTTTGGTGTTTTATCCTTTTCTATAGTGTTTACTGATCATGACATGTATGACTATTTTATTTTTTTCAAAAGAGAGTGAAGCACCTTACAGGGAAATGGTCAAGTTCTTCTCCTTTTATAATTTCTGTACGGTGTGTGTAAATGAATATATTCACATGCACACACATATTACATTTTATGCAGTGCATGGAGTTAAAGAAATTTCATATCAGCTAATGGATTCAGTTTTTTTTGTTTAAAAGCTCTGTTTTCAGAAGACAAAAACAACCTGTCAGGAGAGTTGATTAAGTGTTCCCTGTCCCCCACATACACATACATAAATTCAATAAATGGTAAAAATCATCAAACCATTTGTTTGGCATTTTGAAGACAAAGCAACCAATCAATAAACCACTTCTCAGCTGTGTGTGTGTGTGTGTGTGTGTGTGTGTGTGTTCGCGCGTGTGTGTGTGTGTGATTCTTTAGATAGGCCCTATGTTTCAGGATTTAGATGGATAAGTCTATTTAATCTGCTAGGTACCTACTAATTATCTAGCACTGGATTGGATCCTATAAGGAAAGAAACTAAACTCCTCCCTCAAGATGCTCATACCCTTTGAAAACGTGGGATGAACAATATAAACGCAGAGCAAGTTGTCAAGAAAGACCTCACAGAAGAATGCAGACTTGAGAGGCCACAAGCAGAAATCAAGCCACATAACCAACAATCAATGTACGTCTTTCCTCTAAGAGTTTGCCTTCAAAATCAGAGTTTTAATAGTCCATGTACTCCAGTAAATTATGACTGATCAGAAATGCTGCTATTAAAATGGACCCCTGGGGCAAAACTCCTTACCAAACCAATTTGAATTCAAATTGACAGCAGAATATACAAAGAGAGCAAAATAGCTGACACCATTTCCAACACTGCTTTATAAAGATAATTAACTTCTATGTATTCAAATATAAGATGATCCTGCATAGTGGAAAATAGTGACTATTTGGGGATGTTGCTAAAGATGCAAGACTTTCAGGAGATTCCCTCCCCTCAATACTCCCTTCCTGAATTATTACGCCCATTACCAACCCCATATCTAAATCAGAAAATTACTGAAATGCAAATTGAACAGAGCAATTTATCTGTGACTGACAACATCTCCGAGTTAATAGAGCTCCACTGATGAGATCTAAAAAAGACCGGGGAATAGCGGTACCTAATTTACAATGGTATTCTTTAGCAACATAAATTTAACCACAGCAATGTATATCACGAAAGTCATAAATAAACATCAGAGAAAAATGGAGATAAAATGGGGAATTACACAGAATGTGCTTTTTTAGAAGACAAATGGATCACAGGACCATCACATCAGTGCTTGATCCACAGTCAAAATTTCACACGGGTGACAGTAATTAAGATAGCAAATTAAAAATCATGTTTCCCTTTCTTTTCCCACTCTGGATTTACAAATAAGTTAATCAACTTTTTTTGTGATTTAAGGTCTCTTGAAAGATTTCCACAGAAAAATATTTCTCCATCAACCTGCCACAGTGCTCGAAATTCTCAACTTTAAAAATTTAAGGGTTTAAAAATCTTTTGGTTTCCAAGATTTCCCTATTAAATCTTGGAGAAAAATGACTATACTAGTGGGGATGCTGTATCCTAAAACTAGTGAAATTTGTAGACGAAAAGATCTTAGTAGTGCAACTACTTCTTTTCCTCCAAATTTAGAAATGCATAAATTGAGACCCAAAGATGTGATCCAAGGTCACGAAGCTACCTGTTGACTGAACTGGAACTAAAATCCAATGTTTTTAATTACCAATCTAGTGTCCTTTTCCTGCACAATGTCTCAATTTCTTTCCAGTTTCTTTCTACAAGAAGACATGGGAGAGATACCTGGGGCAAGAAACAGGAATTGTGTAAGTGTGTCCCCAGAAAGAAAAAGAGAAAGCACCGTAAAGTAACTTCACTAACTTCACCATTTTGCCTAGATAGGCTTTATCAAGAACAATTGAGGCCGGCCCCGTGGCTTAGCGGTTAAGTGCGTGCGCTCTGATGCTGGCGGCCCGGGTTCGGATCCCGGGAGCGCCCCGAGGCACCACTTCTCCGTCCAACGCAAGGCCGAGTCCCACGTACAGCAACTAGAAGGATGTGAACCTATGACGTACAACTATCTACTGGGGCTTTGGGGGGAAAAAACGAAAAAAAAAAAACCTTAAAAAAAAAAAAAAAGAACAATTGAGTTTGCTTTTTTTTTCCATCAAATTCACAGCCGATCAAAGTAGACTGGAATTGAAGCCTGGCATTAGAAGAGTTGTTTAAGATGCTGCATGCAATTTTGAACCATGTTATTGAT